ACAGCGCTGAGGTGGCTGAAGGTGGAGGTGGGAGTACATCAGGGATCTGCTCTGAGCCCCTGCTTTTTTGCAGTACTGATCGACGGGATGGCTGATGAGGCCAGGCAGGCGACTCTGTGATCTGCAGGAGGAAGGAGGGAGGATGATGATTAATCTGATGGCAGGAAGAGAAGAGGAAGAGCTCAGAGAAACTTCGTGGATGCAGTGAAGGAGGACGTGCAGAGGAGGACGAGCCGCTGAGGAAAAGAAGCATCTTGTCGCTTCTACACTACATCTCCCAGAATCCTCGGGGCTGGTGTTGGTGACGTCACATTCCCTCGCCCCGGTCCGCTCTTTCCCTCCTCTGTTTAAGTTTTGGTTCCTTTGATTCTGTTTGGGTGTTTGTGCCTGTTCGTTTTAAAGGAGCTCGGTGTGTTTGTGGGAGCGGCATGGGTCCCGTGGAGGTGAGGCTTGCTCCGTTTATCTCACCGGAAACAGGAAATAGAGAAACCGGCTGATGTTTGAGAGTAAAGCGAGCTTCGTGCTGAACGATAGAAACAAAGAAGTGAACGAGCTCGGATTAGTTCCAGGTTTTACCGGAAAACAAACTCCGTTAAAAATTCCACTGAATTTAAATTCGAGTCTTTAAAAAGTTTCAGGCTGAGGTGAATGTGATGTGCGGTAGATTTACTGACCGGAAGTGATCAGTATTAATAACAACCTTTGTTCCGAGTCATCTGTTTATAGAGACATGCACGTTCATTCACAAACTGTTTATTTAAAGCTGATTTACACTCAGGTGAATAAAGGTGACGTCACATGACTGAATGTCCTACAGCACGTGGTAACTAAGTGTCCAGATGTCCCTGCACAGGTGTGGCTGCTCACCTGTGTTGTGGCGCTTGGACTAACGCACCTGTCTGTGTCTGCAGCTGCTGCACATGTCCGTGTTCTCTCAGAGTTTCTCTCCCTGCGGCCGCTTCCTGGCAGCTGGAAACAACTACGGCGAGATCGCAGTGTTCAGGTGAGTCAAACGCACCTGGTTCGACTCGGCTGCGAGGGCCACACCTCTCATTTGTCACTGCTGTTTTTTCAGTTTGTCTGCAGCTCTGAGTCCAGACGCCACCGCGGTCAACCAGAAACCTGTTCTGACCTTCACAGGTGAGTGTTCGGGCCAAAGGTCGCCCTAAACCCACCAAGCCTCTGCAGTATGGCGAGGGCGTCACAGGCGTACCTGCTGGTGTTTTACACCTGCAGACTCGAACAGTGGCATAAAAAATAACAACGTGATGAGAACCCAGGAAGTCTGAGCTCACTCACATGAAAACACACTCACCTTCCAGCCTTTTGTTTGATAGATCCAAACATTTGTCTGTTTCCCGTCACACTGGACGCTCTTGTGAGGCGCTAAAGCGTCAGTGTGTTTGGTGACAAACATCTGCCTCATGCTGAAAACACGCTGGAAATAAAGAATCAGTGAAAACGTGAAGGTTCCAGCTGATTTTAAACCAAAACTCTGGATTTAGCCTGCAGGTGGAGTTCCAGGTGTGTTTGTGAGTCAATATTTTTGAGGCTCATTTTATTGTGATTTTTTTATTTGCAGCCCTGTGACGAGTTCTGGTTTCATTGGGACTTTAGTGGCCGTTTATTGTGTCCGTGTTGATGTTGGACACACTGTCCTCACAGATTCCTTTTTGGTCTTTTTGTCCTGCAGCTCATGAGGGACCGGTCTTTTCCCTTCTGTCCACTGACTGCCACCTGCTGAGCGCGGGAAATGGCGAGATCAGCGCCTGGAGCTGGAGCGAGCTCACCAAGAAGGTAACCTGGAACGTCTTCAGGGACACATAGATGGAGAGGGAAAACGAGTTTGCCTGATTTTTGTGTCTCTGCTTCCTCAGAACGTCAAACCTCTGTGGACCCGAAGACCGAACTACAAGTGAGAACCAGTCTTCCACCCCTGCCTTCTGTCTGCCTCCTGTCTGCCTCCTCACTCACGCATCTGCTGTCTCCTTACAGATCCAGCCTGGAGATCCCAGAGATCAACTCCATGACCATCAACCCCAGAGTGAGTACAGCTCCACCTGTCTGCTCTGCTTCTCTTCATCGCGTTAAAGCTGGCCCGCCTCTACGAGCAGAAAACACTGGAACCTGAAATAAAACACAAACCTGTGACAGTATGAAGAATATCCTCCTCATCATCCTCGTCGTCAGAGCCACCTATTTACTAAACCTTAATTTGTTTTTGTATGTTTTATTGAGGTCCTTTTATTATTCTGACTTCTTTTCATTCTTTTTGAATGTTATTTAATTTTTTGTTTGTAGAAGGGATGCAGCTGCAGTCGGGGCCTTTTCTCCGATGATAATGAGGATAGTTGTCTTTCTGTCGGACGTGTCGCTCCGACGTGTAATGAGGAGTTGTGTTTGTGTGTCAGGATAACAGCCTGGTGGTTGGAGGAGGCGATAACAACATCCATGTCATGGACCTGGAAAACGGTGTGTTCAAGGTGAGTGGGGAACAACGTTGACTCCATGTTTTGTGTTATAGCCGCTGAGGTATTTTTCTCCTTACAGCACGTCGCTGTCGTGTGTGTGTGTGTGTGTGTGTGTGTGTGTGTGTGTGTGTGTGTGGAATGATGACTTCTGCTGTTAACGTGTGAGTCTGTGGGGAACGACTCACTGCTGGAGCCTCTGCTGGATGTCAGAGGAACTGCAGGTTTTATGCCTGGACGTCCGTGTGTGCACTGAACTGTTTCAATCTGATTTTCATGGCAGCGTCTGTTGGGGGAGTTCTGTGTTTCCATGGTGACAGGTTTGTGTTTTGTCTTCAGACGGTGCTTCAGGGTCACTCGGACTACGTCCATTGCGTGACTGTAAGAGAGAGGGAGGCGGAGATCCTGTCGGGGGGAGAGGACGGAGCAGTGAGGCTGTGGGGTGAGTTCACAGGAAACATGGGGCTGTCGGGAGGATGATGATGGTGAAGATGGTGGCGAGGAGTAGGGGTGGGCGGTATAAACAATATACAGTAGAAACGATATGAATTTGGCCAACGTGGGGTTTTGACTATACCGCTCTACCGTGATAGCGCATGTTGATGATCTCATCAAGCTGCGCCTATATATCGTTACCGCACATGCTTCAAATTATACCGCAATATGGATTTTAGGCCTTATCGCCCAGCCCTAGTGAGGATGATGATGATGATGGTGATATTAGTGACGATGAGGATTTTGGTGATGGAGGTGATGATGAAGGTGATGTGTTGCTGTTGCAGACAGCAGGACGGGTCAGTGTGTTCACTGCATCGAGGTCTACAAGTACGAGGTGAGTGCCGGAAAGCGTCGCAGACTTCCTGTGATGATGTCACTTCCTCTTTATCTGAGGATAAACACAGGTGTGTGTGTGTTTCAGGAGTGTGCGCGTCCTCAGTACGGTAAATGGATCAGCTGCGTGACCACCGACTCCGACTGGATGGTGAGAAAACGTTTCCTCGCATCGCTGTGACTCCTCCCCCTCCCATCAAAGTTCACTTTGATGAAAATGATGTCATCTTTGATCACAGCTTTAACCGTGAAAACCTCTAAAGATGAAAGTCTTATTTCTGAGTCAGACTCTGTGAGGACTCGTGTTGTGTTAGAAACAGGTGATGGACTCCAGGTGAGTTCAGGTGACGTTAAACTGCGAGATGAAACGTTCTCCTTCGTTCTTGTTCTGAGGTTTGTTGTTTTTACAGATGTTTCCTTAGATTCCAGATGTGTAAGATTCTGAACATGTCTGACTTCCTGTTCCCACAGCTGTGCGGCGGCGGACCGTCTCTGTCTCTGTGGCACCTCCGCTCGCTGTCACCGACCTCCATCTTTAACCTGAGCGGGTGCCAACGACAGTCCACCTTCCATCAGGACTTGGTGAGGAAGACGCTTCAGTCAGTGTTTGTCCATCTGTGCCGGTGCTCGCTCTGGTTCACTTCCTGTGATGCATTTCCTGTAGATCCTAACGGTGGGTGAAGGTGCGTTCGTGTCGCACTGCCTGCTGGGCGGCGAGGTCAAAGCTCAGATTCCCTGCACGCCACAGAGCCTGAACACGCTGCAGCTCAACAACAACAGCACCGAGCACCGGGTGAGACCCTGAATGCAGCACGCACATCCTCACACAAACACGGAGGTCACATGACACGACAGGTTCACGAGTGAAGTTTAACACGTTTCACACATCACTGGTTCAAAATCCGATTTCAGAAGTCCACATATCAGACCTGAGCCGTGACAAACTGAGCGTGTGCAAACACGGCGGGACAGTACAATGTGGCTCAGTGCTGATTGGTTGAAGCTGGAGAAGACAACTGGAACAACCAATACATTAAAAGTCAGCAAGGGGTGTGGCCAGAAGAGAGAGGATGTGAATGAAGACAGAGCGACGTCAGGTTTTTTCCCCCAGTGTTAGTGAACGTGTCGTGTGTTTCAGGTGCTGACGGTCGGCGGCAGCAGCGACCGTATCGACGTGTTCACCAACCTGTCCTACAGAGCGTTCTCCCTCAGATTCTGAACTCCGAACTTCATGAGACCCCACGCACGATAAACTGTCTGTTCATTTTCCATGTTTTTATTTGTTTTTGGGCGTTTTGTATCAGCTGTCTGTGAGCTTCTTTAAAGAATAAACGTATGAAAATAAAAGCACGCCACGCTTCACTCGTCTTCACCAGCTGAGCTCTGATTGGTTAAACCAACCAGCGAAGAGCCCACCCTGTGATGAACAATTGAACTTTGATGTTCTGATCACAGGTGTGCGCTCATGAAAGTGTTCCCAACTGAAATCAGCGCTGTGACGCTCCTACGAAAGCTTTTAAATAAACTTTATTAACACAGCGCACACTCTGCTGTCAGTTCACCGGTTTGTTTCTGATTAGTCACATGCTGGAAACTCCGCCTCTTTCACTGACACAGATGAACCTGTGAGTGAACAGGAAGTAAACGGCTGATTGACAGGTGTGTGTTCACACCTGCAGCAGGTAAACAGAAAACAGCTGATTGGACTGAAGTGAACACATTTTATTTAATACAAAAAGACGTCATACAAAACAGGGACTAAAACTTTATTTAAACTAACAGAAACAGACTCATGACGCATTCAAGGAGCAGCAGAGAAATCGGTAATGGGTTTCGGCTCTGATGATGCCCATCTGCAGGTCTTACCCAGCATGCACGGGGAGCAGTGGGCGGGGTCTCAGGCTGCAGACAGGCAGGCCTGCTGGACGCTGCGAGCCCAGGTGTTGAGCAGCTCGGTCACCGAGTGTTTGTCGGGCAGCTGCAGCAGTTTGGACGTCATGTTCCTGTGAACCGTCTGCAGGAAGCTGTTCGCACCTGAAACGCACGCAGTCGATGATGTCATCACCACACGTTCCCAGATTTAAGTTTGAAGACAAAAACACTTTAAATGTCCGACGGCCATCTGATAGAAACGTTTCTACTCTGACTCTATCCTCCCTCTGCAAGGCCACGCCTCTGTGTGGCATCCTGATTGGCCGCCCCTCACAAACGCTCTTATTTCCTGCTCTAATTTAGACTTTTGTGAATTTATGCTTTTAAGAGCCTGTGGACGTCTCTGTGGATGCGCGGCTCTATTGGGTGATGAAAGACGGCGGTGGTGGGCGTGTCTTACCGTATTGCTCTCCGTCGTCGGCCCAGTGCGGACTCTGGTCGGGATAATCGGCGGGAACACTGAGCTGCAGCGGAGGAACGCTGGGAAGGTTTTTATCGTCTGAAAGAAAAATCAAACACCAATAAGGTTTCACTGTGATCTGCAGTGGGCGGAGCAGTGGGGGGCGGCGTTCTCACCCAGCTTGCAGATGAGGTGCACGGTGCCGTTGTTGCTGCAGTACGAGGGGTCGAGGTTGACGAGGAACTTGACGTCGAGGCGCGCCACCTCGCCCTGCAGGATGTTGGGGATCGTCTGCCGCTCGTCGTCCTCGTGCTTCCTCTTGCGTCCGGAGATGTTCGGCCCCCTGAGGAGGACGCGACGCTGTGAATATGACCTCTGACCTGTAAAGTGTAGCGCGACGTGTGTGTGTGGTACCTACATGATGGGTGGTCCGTGGATGGCACTCATGGCGGGGGCGAAGGATCGGTAGAGGGAGTGGTTGAAGACGGGCGAGCGGATGTTGGCCATGACGGCGTCCAGCAGCGGCTGACACAGGTACTGTTTGTTGGTGGCCACGGGCGGGGGAGGGGGCGTCGGCTGAAAGGACAGGAAACACAAACAGAGGCTCAGACTGGCGTCGACCCTCTGAAGATTAGAAATGAGAGGAGGCGCTCGCCTTACCACCGCCATGTCGTTCTTCAGCTTCTCCAAAGCGATCTCACATTTCTGCAGCGTCTTCAGGGGACACCTATAGGTCAAAGGTCAGGAAAAGGAGGTCAGGAAGTGTAGCGAGGAGCAGCAGCTTCAGCTGTGAGCTTGGAGGCGTGGCTGACATCACTTCCCATATCTACAGTGTTTGTGTTTTCCAGCTGTGATCACGCGACCACAGCTGGAAAACGCTGGACTCCTAGTGTCTGATGCGAAGACGTGGAGCAGGCTCTGGGTGGAGGCGGCTAACCACGTCAGCTGAGTTTGGATTGTTTCACGCACAAATCGAACCTGAAAGGAATGAATCCCACCTGGTGCTGGGGTCGGTCAGGATGTTCAGCAAGCTCTTCATCTTACTCAGGTCCTTCTTCCTGTCTGAAAACACAGAAGAAAGCAGCTGAACTTTAACCACGCGTGGATGCGTTCAGGACGGGCACCGGATCAAACCTAAACGATACGCATCCCTGTTCAGGAGCAGAACTTTCCCTTCTTTCGAGCGATCTGCTGATTCTGTGACTTTGCAGTGGACTCGTGTTTGAACATCATCAACATGAACGACTCGATCATGTGTTTCTTCTCCTCACTTTGTGTCACATGACTGCCCTTCTAATCATGAGCTCATCGCTTCCCCTCCACTTCCTACCTCGACATCGTCTTCCTGTTCATGTTTCCTATCAGAACATTTTTCCTTTCCGACTCTTCCAGTCATGATCATCGTGCTTTCGTTTCTTTAGTAAGAAGAGGAGTTATCCTTTAAATCTCCAAGTGTACCATTACCAAAGATGAACTCCACGAACCTCAGTTTGGGAACCCGTGCATGTGTGTGCTGTGGCGTCTCGGAAGGAGGTTGTGATGTCAGCGAGGCGAGCGGCTCACCTTCGTTTTTGTCGATCTTGTTGATCATGCGGCGCAGCGGCTCGATGTACTTGGAGAGCTGTTTGAGCTTCTCCATGTACTGCTGGTCCTCCAGAGACGTGGGCCCCGCCGGACTCATCACCGAGCTCGGGTTCACTGAAAGTTTCACAATAAAAGCCGGTGAAACTCTGAGGAGGGAAAACAGACGTGTGTTTCACCTTCTCTGACCTCAGTGTGTGTGTAGCTGTGATCGAGGTGCACACGACTGCGCCGCTCAGCGGCGTGGTCAGCGAGCGTGACGGAGCTGCTGCGTTCACGTTATTCTGAGCTCTGTGAAAAGTTCCTTCCAGATGTTTGTGGGGTTACCTGGAGTACTGAGTGGCCCGGGGGAGGGCACGCCGTAGTTCTGGGGGGTTCTGGAGTTGGCGGGGCTCGGCGACGGCTGAGGAGACGGGCTGGGCTGGAAACCCCCCGGAGACGGAGTGGGACCGGAGCTGTGGGAGGAGCCAGAAGGAGTTAGACTCGCTGACAGACATGTAACCTGCGCTGATTCTGTCCTGTGACACCGAGCGGGTCAGAGACCAGACGCAGACGTGAATCTGAACTCGCCTCAGCCAGAGGCTGACGACTGGCTGACCCACTGCTGTCCTGAAAGGTCAGTGGTGTGGTCTATTTACTGGACGTACCTGGCCGAGTTGGGCTGTGAGGTCGGGGGTTGGGGTGACGGCTGCGGAGGAGGCGGCATCGACTGAGGAGTCGGGACCTGCACCGGTGAGGGCGAAGACATCTGCTCGAGGTGATTGGACAGACAAGGAAAGACAAACTAGCCAATCAGAGCACAGAGGGGAAGGCACGATGTTTGTGTGCGTGAAGCAGCTCCATGAGGTCGTTAGAAACTGTCTCCACCTCATGAAGCTGCTTCAGACTGAAGAAACAGGAGGACGAGCAGGTGAAGGTCAGAGGTCACACTGGGGATAAATACCTGCGGTGTCATGGCCTGCACTCCCACCACGCCAGCTGCAGTGGTGGTGGCGTTTTGAGGAGGGATGGGGTTCGGAGGTGCTCGAGGTAGCCGGGCTGGAATCTGCATCCCAGGACGAACCAGCTTCAGAAGAAACAAAGCACAGGTGAGCAGAGAGGACAGGTGAGACCTCCGTCTTTCTACACCTGTGAGGACCAGCTCAGATGTTCCTGCAGGTTCAGCTTTGTGACTTGAGCAGTGAGAATATCAGGTGTGGACAGTTTAACCTACAGTTAACAGGAAGCGGACGCCCCGGAGCAGGCGAACCTGTCATTTTGAGTTTCCTGTTTCTGCTGCCGTGAAGCGTACTCCCGACGCCTGCTCTACAATCTCCTGCCGTTTGTCTGATCGTCTAAATAACTCAGAGCTGATGAACCTGAGTTTGTGGCGGCGTCCTCACCTGTCCCGGCATGGCGGCTGCAGCGGCGGCTGCGTTGAGCTGTGCTTGCGCTGCGGCCTGCTGAGCTTGCTGCGCTGCCTGCTGCTGCTGCTGCTGCAAGGCTGCACGGGCCTGTTCTCACACACACACATAGCAAAGCATGCAAGCAGAGGAAGGGAGCACTGAGCTGTGAAATCTCAGACCACTGGAGCAGGAACTGCAGACTGATCACAGCCTCTGGTCGGATTTTCATTGCAGACTTCCTGTTTTACTTTGAAAATCTGATTCGCTGCTTTTTCAGGCGTCCAGTTTTTTAAATGACAGCACCGAGTGAAACTGTGCTAACTTATGTTATGAATTACAATCTTAAAAACAATTTCTCTGACTCGATTTGGACTTTGAACGCTGAGACACCGACTGTCTGGCTGTGATTCAGTCGGAGTTACAGAACCAAACCTGCAGTTCTGTCTCACCTGGAAGGCCTGCAGCCTCTGCTGCTGCTGGTTCAGAGAGACGTGCTGGGATGGCATCTGTCCGGCCAGAGACTGAGACACCATGCCCGACTGCTGCTGCTGCTGCTGGGAGTGAGGAGGCATCTGAACCGGCTGAGTCTGAGCCTGGACCTGCTGCTGCTGCACCATCTGCTGGATGGACTGGGCCTGGGCCTGGGCCTGGGCCTGAGCCTGGGCTTGGGCTTGAGCTTGGGCTTGAGCCTGGGCCTGAGCGTGCTGCTGGAGCTGCATAAGCTGCAGCCTGGACTGGTGCATCTGTAATCAGACAAACACAGCTGATGAGTAATGAGAGGAAAGCCACTCGTCTCCCCTCACAGCCACTAGCGATCAGAGCGGTGGTTTCAGGGTGGCCAGATCGCAGCTGTGAGCTCGGGGCACTAAACTTATCCTCTGTAAGGCAACTTAGGGCACCGCTGGAAGGTTAGCTTTAAGTCGATTTTGCAGAAACTGTTGATCACTGAAAGTCAGATTATTTCTTTTGTCTTTAAGACATTCCTGCAGTTTAACTCATTGGTGTGTGTTATCTGGCTTCATGGACAGATAGAGCTGGGTGTCATCTGCATAGCAGTGTAAATGTATGCTATGTCTTCTAATGATGCTGCCTAAGGGAAGCATGTATAATGTAAACAGAATTGGTCCTAGCACTGAACCCTGTGGAACTCCATAATTAACCTCAGTGTGTGAAGAGGACTCTCCATTTACATGCACAAACTGGAGTCTATTAGATAGATATGATACAAACCACTGCAGCGCAGTACCTGTAATACCTACAGCATGTTCTAATCGCTCTAATAGGATATTATGGTCGACAGTATCGAACGCTGCACTGAGGTCTAGCAGGACAAGCACAGAGATGAGTCCACTGTCAGAGGCCATAAGAAGATCATTTGTAACCTTCACTAAAGCTGTTTCTGTGCTGAGCTCTGAAACCTGACTGAAACTCTTCAAATAAACCTCTGCAGATGATCTGTTAGCTGTTTATTTGCTCTCACAGTTTACAACTCATCCCGTCTCTGGATAGAGCTGATTTATGCAGAGAGGATCGGACTTTAATCCCGGCACCTACGCAGCATTTACTCCGCCTGCAGGGAGTATGACCTGGTCTCACCTGGTTCTGCTGCTGCTGGTTCTGGGCCTGCTGTTGCTGCTGCTGCTGTTGGAGCTGCTGCTGCATCTGCTGCTGCTGTGCCCTCAGCTGTTGCTGCACCTGGAACTGCTGCTGCTGCTGCTGGATGGCGTTCTGCTGCTGCTGCTGCTGCTGCTGCTGTTGGATGGCGTTCTGCTGCTGCTGCATGGCGTTCTGCTGCTGTTGTTGGAACTGCTGGAACTGCATGGCGTTCTGCTGCTGCTGTTGCTGCTGCTGCACCAACTGCTGCATAGATCCCGGTCCGCCGACTGCAGGGGGAGAGAGAGGGGAAGATGAAGCAGCGGGCCAGCGTGCGAGGCCAGCTCTGGACTCTCAGACACACACCGTGCTAAAGCAGAGACTGAAAATCAGGCCGGCTCTGACGCCGAAACGTGGCATGTAGACGCAGCCAGCCTCCACCGAACACTCGGAAGATGTGCATTTACAGCAAACACCACATGGAGGAAACACTCACTGGCTTGTGGGTTTCCAGCCACCCCTGCCATGGCATGCTGGCCTATCTGCATCGGCCCCATGGCCCCCATGCCACCCACTGGAGCACCGGCAGGGCGAGGCCCCATGCCAATGGCGCCAGGACCCCCTCCAACCCCTGTCAGGGTATTCAGGGCATTCATGGGATCTAGCAGAAGGGTAGACAACAGACCATATTAAGCAGCTCCAACATGCACAGCAGAAATCATGAACGCCATGAGTCCGGTACAGACTGGTCCAGCAGAGGACAGAACACAGCAAAGAAAACAAATGGGGCGGGGGAGGGGAGACCAGAGAGACACGAAGCCCACCTACCTGAACCTCCAAGAGCCTTCTTATCTGCAGAGAGGACACAGCCGTCAATAACTCTGATCAAGGATTCAGGGCTGAGCAGCAGATCCACTCAGCAAAATACACAAACAACTCATCTATATGAATGTGGAGACAAGCTCCGCCCCCTCTCTGAACAGCACAGGTCTGAATAAACAGCAGACATTCACAGGTTGCTGTATGAGCGATGTGAGTCAAAGTCACGTTTGCTGATTTGAAAAAGCGTTTGTACCCACAGGAACGAGACTTCCTGCTCACTCTGCTTTTGTGGATGGAGTCTGTAAAGACTCACTTCCTGCCCGCCGGCAGGTAAATCAGTGAGGGTGCGTTCTGCTCTCAGACCGACTGCTGAGCACATTGTCTTTCTAACATGAAATATAAAATTGTGTTTCTTGTTTTTCCTGAATTTGATGCTCAAATGAATCAAAAGCAACAAACGACCAGATTAGTGCGTGACTGTGACCTGCAGTCCAACGCCAGCTTCACCCATAAGATCGGCGACAGGTCATTGATCTGCGATCACTAAGGCACGATGCGCTCCTCGGATACTCACGGATGTCTCTGAAGTGAATGATCAGCCGGGCCACCAGAGATAAATACTCCTCCTGAGGAAAAACCAGACACATGGTGCAGCATTTACATTCACTGAACGACGTTCGAGGACATTTCAGGAGAACGGCGACATTTAAATACTTCAGTGTGCATTAAACCGGCTTCTGTTATTCTGCATTTTATCGTGATATAAAAAATGCAGCTCTCTAGCTTCAAACAACCTCTAAAACCAGTGATCTGCTTCCACAAATAAGGCTGATCAAATAACTCATAAACGGTCCCAGTTTGTAGTTTAATAACCAGTCTGCTGGTGCGATCTGGCTCTCCTGTGTTTGTTTTGTCCCCTCAAACCTGCCCAGCAGGTGGCGTTAACACTGATCAGTAACGACTTTCACTTCTTTTGTAAGCCAATCATTTTCAGAAAGCAGCGTCAGCAGTAACTAATCCAGACGCGGCGGCGGTGGGCGGGACTCACCCTGGATTTGGCTTTGACGTAGACGTGGTTCTCCATGTCCGTGCCCGACTTGTGCGTGGTGTTCGAGGTTCCTGCCTTCCTTATGGCCTCTTCGCTGCAGGAATCACACTCATCGTCACAAACACACCTTGATATCTTCATTGGTCTCTGCATTCACCCCCACCTCCCCAGTTACACTCATTCATTCACCGTGAGCATCACATGCATCATTTAAAACCACAACGCTGCACATGAACCGGACCTCTGAGAAGACACCACAGAAACGACTCTAAGCAGCGAACACGTTAAGTTAACACGGCTCAAATCACAACGCTGAACCAATCCTGGAACACCACAGTCTGCATGTGGATAAGGATCCTGACGGATAAAGACTGTACGGGACCGCCAGGATCGCTGAGCCGGGGAAACGTAGCTGAACGGGAAAGGTGTTTTACAGGAAGTTATTAACGTATTAAAATGTGTTTATTTTGCTACAACTGCGAGGGCAGGTTTTATATCTTCTTTATTGAAATAAAAGCACTTGTTATCCAAATCTTCTTCTACAACAGTTAAACTAGTCACACGTGCCAGCTGTTTGCTGTAATCTTTGTATATTACAGGTTTCTGATACCTAATAATGAAAAAAAGTCTAAATCATGATGAAAAATAACGACCTGTTTGCTCTTAATGCTGCTGTGGGACAGAGTGGAGGTTCCCATGCTCGTATATTTTGGTCCGACGTTACTTGTTCGGATGCTTTCAGACCTCGCTAACTTTTTGATTATTGGCAGAAAGGACATGTCACGTCTTTCCTAAATGCAACAAAAGCTTTTGGATCTTTCCCACCGTCAACAGTAATGTTCCCTGTTCTGCATAAAGGAAAAACGGCACAGGTGGAAAACAGCAGTGGACCTAATGCAGAGCCTTGTGGTACACCGCGAGGAGCTGTTGTTTACATCGACATACAGATTTCTTTCCACTAGAAATGACACGAACGACCTGGCAGAGTCCACAGCACTGAGTTTGGATGAAGACTATGATCTGCTGCTCTGCTGAGCTCTATTGCTTCTGTTTTTACTTGGACAGTACATCAATGCACTGTATCAGAAGCCTTTGGAGGACAGTTCAAACAGTGTGCCCACTTTAAACCTAATCTGAACCCAGGATCAACAGAGTATCCTGACTCAAACTGATCATAACACCTCTTTCAGATTATTTAGACTCAGGTCTGCCTTTTTTCAGCGTCCCTTATAGGTGTGAATGGAACATTGTGACAGTGGATTTGAACCCATTCAGCCTGATGAGCAGCATTTCTCTCTATAAAGATGGGGACACTCTAATCTTTATTAAAAGGACCTCACTGCTGTAATCCGCTGCTTTCAGGAATTAATCCACACATGTTCACGACCCACCTGAAGAAATCCTCCGGTTTCGAACCGGCGACCTTTTTTTTTTACTTTCCTGACTGTGTACGAGCAGAAGAGCGGGAGCGTCACGTGATCTCACGCTGACTGTAGCCGCTTATTCACACTACACAGCCTGACTTTCAGTCATGCAGGTGAACGTTCTCACAGCGCAGATAACTGTAACTCATTAGCTTCAGCAGCTAATGGTGCTAACAATGAAAGTTGACAGAAATGATCTGTTAGCGTCATTTTGTCCATTTTCTCTTCGCCGAATAGAAGCCACCATCCGGACCTTTCGTCCTCTGTGTCCCGTCGTGTCATCAGATCCGAGCTCGCTTTGCTTTTTTACCGGTTTTTCTTAATTTAACGTTTTCTAAACGCCTGCTCAGACATGACGCATTTTCTAACAGCGCCGCCTTTAGCTTAGCCTGAGCGGCTAACACAAACCAAAACAGTGACATTAAACAGAACAACAGAGACTTTCTCACATCTGAGCCACGACTTTCTGTCGGAACTGTGGGCTCCTCCAGTCGCTGTCCGCTCCCGACATTTCCATGGCGCAGAGGAGGTTTTTCAGGAGAACTGTGGCAGAATTCCTGGATGCTTCCCCTCTGTTCTTCCTCCTTCTACTACGGGATAATGGCGGCTTGAGTCAATACGCGCTGCCGCCGCCTGCTGGACGGAATAGTTACTGCACCGAGGAAAACTGGGGCGGCCACGAGGACACAAAGGGCCCAACGAGACCCCCCAAACTCCCACTGAGGAGCCTGAACCCCAGACTGCAGAGGGACTGCTGTGATGTCCATTTCGATCATTTTTCACATTCATTTGCTTCTGTCTGAGATGTTTACCTCTTTACAGGTGCTGATTGACACCTGACTCACTGCATTGCTCTCATCATCACTGTTATTCATGGAAAACAAAAATCTAAATAAATGAAACAAAATATGTGAATGCTGGCTGCAGCAAACAAAAGACAAACACTGAGGCTTCAGAATAATTAGTGCAGAGTCAAAGACTGACAGCACGCTGGCTACTTTTTATATAAGTCTGTGATTTTATGATTCTGCCTCATTGTGGCTCTGCCCATCAGCCGCTCAGTGTCCTGAACACCTCAGCGACACCTGATGACACCAGAGTGGACCGACAGGATGTGAGCAGACTGTTCTGGATCCACGGGCTCGCCCAGGAGGCGTCCTGCTCAGATGCTGGATGATTGATTTGAATACATCTGAAGAGCTGCTGGTGCTGAACCCAAATCCCTCCTGAAGCTTTTGCTGGATTTAAAATTATTTAAAAAATAAATAAATCTAAACAGTGAGCAGAAACATGTTTTAGGTTCTTTATTGACCCTCTGCGTGGACGACGACGTTCTCCACATAGAAACAGAACCAAATCAATGCAGTCATCATCATCACTGTAAAACAACTGCGGTCACAAGGTATGTCCCGATTCATAGGCCGATTACATCACAGCCAGGTGACAAAGGCTGTCCTGATTCGAAGACTCCTCCAAACGAGTCCTCCTTTTCCCCAGATTTGAAGGATGGATCGGGTGTGTCCTTCGTGGCCCACCTATCCCAGAATTCATAGTTTCCAACAATGGCGGCAGCCTTTAGCGTTAATGTTACTCTTATTAATCTTTCTGGGTCACAAAATAAACGTTTAACATATTTCCTGGTGAGAACGTAGCTGTGCAAACTTCAAATGTCTGCTCTGTTTATCAAGACACCTCATATTTGCAAAAGTGCTGCGACGTTTTCAGGGATGTCTGTTACCCACCAGCTCGATCGCTGACCGGGAGCTCGAGGGTCACTGGAGCCGCCCAGACTCCCGGCACATCGCTTTCAAACCCCCCGCGGTCCTTGGCTGCTCAGATTAAGTGACTCATACATCACGTTTAAACAACCTAAAAATGTTATTGTTTGTTTTTTTCAGTGTTTCATTTGTTTGTGAGTAAATCGGTGTGGCTGAGATCAAAGTTCTAGTTTTCACACAGCTGAATAAACGTCAAACGGATAAACAGACGTGTGAGACGGTCGAGAGTTTCCTCCGGTGTCCTGTTATATTTTAGACAGCAAGGAGCAGACGGCGAGTTTATTAACTCCACCCAGACAGCGGTGACGCAGATCTGAAGGCTCGACCGTCCCGTTTCACAGCCGCTCACTTCAGGCCTTCTCTGAAGGATGCAGCCTATGAATTGGGACATAGCTACACTGAGCAGTGTGGGCAGCTCGGGTCAAAGGTCACAGCAGTCAGCCCAACTCCAGCTCTGCAGGATTTATTTGAGAGACAAAAACAAAGAAAGAGCCAGAGAACAGGAGACGTCTCTAAACTTTATTGAAACATCTGTGGACATTAACGGTTGGAGCTGAAGCTACCGTCACAGCCGAAGGCCTCCTCTTCCTCCTCCGATGAAGGTGAACGAAGATCAGAGCGGTGTCGTTTCTGATGCAAGCACCAAAACCCCGACTTCCTCCCACTGAATCCGAGCCCCGCCATCAGAGGAATCCCCCCAATCAAACATCAGCACGGGGATCAGGAACGATTAATGCTCCTGTTAAATTCAACCTGTTTTCTCCTGACGACCCTGCTAACGGGCTGAACGGCAGGCGTTTCTAACGGCAACTCGCTTCTGTCCTCACCCATCAGTCAAACAACTCCCCGAGTTTAACGAGAGGAGGAACGCTAACGTCCGACCACGAGCTCCCAGAACACGGAGCGCAAACAAACAGAAACATGACAGCCGGGCGTTCTTCATCAAGTTTTAGCTCGAGCTTCCTGCGTGCAGAAAACAAAGAGACGAGGCGGCACGCACCCCCAACAACAACAACAATAATAAACCCAAAGAAACAGACGTGAGAACAGAGGAAACCAAACCCACACGGCCGCTCTCCATCATCCATCGATTCGCTCGAGGTCCCTGCCGAAGCTCCTCTATGCCTATTAGAATATGTTTCTACTCTGCAGCTTCTATTTACACGTACGCCTGCACAGCAACACGAACCGCCTCCACCTGCCCCAACTCCCCATCACAACAGGAAGTGACACGTGTACGCTCAGGAGGGCAGACAGCCGCACGTTAAAGGGACGCGGCGCCGTTACAGGACTCGAGGCCTTCATAAAGGACGAAGGAAAGTTCCGCTTAATTCAACTTAAACTATCTGATGTTTAATCTGCTAATTATTCTCTTCATTTATCACAAAATACATAACTCTTCTTTTAATGCTGGACCCTAAACCCCGCCCCCGTCACAGGTCTGCAGTTTGAATCTTTACGATAAGGAAAAACGAGAAGCTGGAATTATTTTCCTGAAGCTCAAAAACACTCGGAAATGTCAAAACCATCCGTTTAAACAGAAACAAGTCGCTAAACTCAGTTTATTCACGAGTCTCACGCGTCTGCGTCGCACGTGTGAGACTGCTCTGATGGAACACAGCAAAATATCCGGATTATAAACATTCAGGAATGTTTGAGTGCGTTTAGCTGCAGTGATGCTGTCAGAGAGAAGCTCTGCATTTGATTCTAGCCGTTTTTGTTTCCTCCAGGTTTGAAGTCTCGTTTAAAGTTTGAACTGCAGTTTCACTGAACGCTGAAACACACGCGACGTCTCGCTAAACTACGGCCGTCCGAACACGGAGGAAGCGATCTTTGCTCTACCTGCACCTCTGAGCGCCCACGCGAGTTACCGCACCTTTATAAAGTGTTATTAACCGTTTATTACATGTTTATCTGCTGATTACACGTTAAAGTTAGAGGAATGAGCACTGAGCAGAAGCCAAAACAAGCCGAGCTGTCTTCAAACTCTGTAACTGCGACGGATGGACGACGACGCGTCCTCCTGCAGGAGGAGCGCCTGACGCAGAAAACCGTTTCCAAGATTCAACAGAAAACAAATAAAAATACTCTGAGAGCACCGACAGCGCCGAGGTCGACTCCTCGTCAACTCCTCAGTCCCATTTTGCTCAAAGATACAGCATCGAACCGCCGACCCGCCCGACTGCTACACGGGCTAAACAAAACAAAACAAAAAAAAGGGGAGAAAGTCTGAATCCACCAGTGATGCTGTGGGCGGAGCCTGTCTCCATCCCGCCCTCCCTCCTTTACCATGGTGGATGTTTTTGGACCGCAGCTCCTCACCGACCCGCCCACCCCGCTCCTGCGGACAGAGGGACACACGAACATCAAAGAACAAGAATCATGTTTGTTTTTGTTTAAACGACTTGATTAGTTTAAAGCATGAAACTTTGATAACGAGTCCTGGATCAGTTCTGTGGCTGCGCATCGTTTCGCTCGTTTCTCCTCCGTCACAGTTCTTCCTGAGGCTACGTCCACACGTACAGTTGGGGAAAAAAAAAAAAAAAAAAAAAGGACCTGCGTCCACATCTAAACACAAAAAACGAAGTCAAACGCTGTGAAGAACACGCCACAGCAGCCGGTGGCGATATAATGCAAACCGTGTCAACATGTTAGCCAATCAGAAGTCTGTAAATTTGATCAGTGGCGCACATGTTTGACGATGTGCGGCTAAACCTACGTTTTCCTCGTCAACACGTGAACCCAAAACGCTGTTTACGTGTGGACGTAGCCTGAGCCTACAAAGAACGACCTGTGCACTTCCTGCGCCCACCTGTAGGGGGCGGCGTTCCTCGTTCGCATTAGCCTCCTAAAAACACCCACTACTCCCCCCTCAGGTGTTACTCACCTACAGTTTTTGGACCAGAGCGAGGCTGAGATGGAGTGGCAGGGAGGGGTGAGGGGCAGAGTCACTCTGAGGCAAAGGGCACCTCTGGAGGGGGGGGCTTGACGGTGACGGGCTGGGATGTGCGGCGCGGGGGCGAAGGCTTGGGCTGGGCCTGCTGCTGCACCGTGTCGTAGTACGTCACGCCTCCGTAGGTCACCTGGGTCTGACCCTGCAACCAATCAGAGAGCTCCTGGATCAAACTTTCACTCTATTGTTCCTGCACAGAACACGACACTGGCCACAAACTGAGGCTCAAAGACAGGAAGACAGCCAATCACAGTGAATTCCACGCCACCTTTTAAACTGACATCAGTACCTGTGGGTTTGGGTACATGGTGGGGTAGGGGAAGGTCATGACCCCCGGTGGAGGGTAGAAAGGCGGTGGCAGCAGTTGCTGTGGTTGCCCTGGTGAAAGAGACACTGGTGGGCCTCCGTATAGGGCGGGGTTAGCGATGGGGCCTCCTGATTGGTGGGGATGGAGACCTTAACAGAGACGAAGACATGAGGTCACTGCGTGAAAACATCCATTGACCTCCTAAGACCCGAACTCTTTCATGCATGTTTCATTTCTCTTTGCTATTTGCAAACTCCACCTACCGGGATGCGGGATGTGCATCTCAGGCTGCACCAGCATGCCCTGTGGCGGCATGGGGGCGGGGCTATCCCCGTGGGCATAGATTGGTCCCTGGTACGACACTGAGACAGAAAATGACAGCAGGTTAATCACAGCGAGGCGACGTTTTCTTCTCCAGCAGCTCGTTTTCATAAAAGGACGCTGCGGTGTTTCACAACAGCTGGAAACTGATGTGACGTAGCCACGTGGTGCTGGTCATGTGATCTTAGGCTTACTGGGCTCATAGTAGTGTCCCTCCATCACTCCCAGGTGCATGGGCGGCGCCGGCTCGGGCACGGCTCTCTGTCGCTGGGAGGAGTAGCGTTTGGCCCGGTTGTTGCCGACACCCATCTCCTCGATGCTGGAGAACTGCGGCGGGCCGCTGGGCATGTGCAGGGGGTTAGGAAGGCCTGTGGTCAGAGAGACTGGTTTAACGACAGACAACCACACGCGCTCGGGGGCGCCAAATAACAGGGCCCAACATGGAGCCACATTCATCATCAACAACATTCAAATGTTGACTTTTATGGAACACGTAAGATTTAGTCTGCATGAGAATTCAGAGCAATGACAAAGTTAGAAAAAGCCAAACATCTACAGAGAGAAGAAGACATCAGGAAGCTGCGCAGGTGTGGGCGACACAAAGCTGCAGGTGTGGGCGACACAAAGCTGCAGGTGTGGGCGACACAAAGCTGCAGGTGTGGGCGCCACAAAGCTGCAGGTGTGGGCGACACAAAGCTGCGCAGGTGTAGCCCCTCCACACACACAAACTGCACGTGTTTCAGCCTCACAGGGACCAGAGATCACTGAGGTGTAAGACTGCTGTAGATATTTGTTTTAGCTCCGCCTCAGGCGAAGCTGTTCAGTCAACATTTAGCATGAACCACCTGACTTGTGAGCGCCACCTGTGAGGTGACGGTGTAAAAGCGCTCACCTCTCATCTCAGACCGCACGTACGAGGTCGGGCTCCAGCTCTGCCTGGCCAGATTGAGCCGAGCCACGTCCTGGTCCAGCTCCGTCACACCTCCTCCCGCCTGGCTCGGCGCGTCGCCTCCACCCGACCAGCTCTTTCCCCCCACGTTGCTGGGAGAAGAGGTGTTACCCCCGGCAACGGACTCCTCCACAGACGCCTGTTTACTGCCCAGGTCTGCGGGACGCGAGCGAGTCCTGCGAGCCAGCGAGTAAGACTTGCGCTCCACTGGCCGCTCTGCGGGAGGGGAAGCTTCCCGATTGGACGCTGCTGCCGACTGAAGGGAGGGGTCGGAGCCAGAAGAGGAAGCGGCCAATCCTGATGCAGATCTGTCCGTGCCGCCTCGCTGCTCCTGCTGGCGTCTCGGCGATGTGGACTGGTAACCGCCCGGCTGTGGCGACGCTGCCGGCGTTACGGCGCCAACGCTCAAGTCCTGCTCCGTGGCCCCTCCCTGACTGACTGTAATGTCCTCAATGACCACAGAGGGCGCCCTTCCTCCTCGCCCTCCTCTGACACCTCCCCTTTCCCCTGTAGGCTCCGCCTGAGCCCGAGGACCCGGCCGCTCTCGGTGGTGCACCAGGGGTGCGTTTGATTCATTGTTCCTGTAGTGAGACGAAGGTGGGGGGTGCAGGTTACTCTGGGGTGGTCTGCTACGGGAGGGAGGCGGTCTG